CGCGGGGCCAGGAGCCCCCCCGCGGGCCCCACCAGCCGTCTGGGCCTCGTTGCGGCGCCCGACCTGCCTTTCGGTGGGGACTGTGGCGAGTGAGGTCAGAGCAGGAGTGATTCGGCGGTCCAGGGGCTGATCCGAGGCACTGGAGTGCCCGTGGGTTTTCTCCACTTAGAAGGCACGGGCAGCAGGGTCCCCACGGGGGGCGGGGGTGGTGTGGAGACCGCGACCGCAGCCGCCTCCTCTGAGGGAGGCGTCACTGGTGAGGCCAGGTCTAAGGTCAGGGGCAGGGGCGAGGGTGAGGCTTGGAGGTCTGGGGGCACCAGGAGTCCCGGGGGTGCGGAACTGCCAGGGAACCAGACGCCCAGCCCGCGAGCCAGGCGCATGGCCGGGGAGGAGGGGGTCACCTCGGGCTCCGCCAGGGATGTCCGGCGGGAGTCGGAGGCACGGTCCGAGGCCTGCTCTTTTCGGGAGCCCCCGCCCGCAGATGGCTCCGACTGCACGTTCCCCATTTCTGACGGAGGTCAGAAAAACTTGTGCCAGTCTACCGGGGCTGCGGGGACCCCACGAGGCTGGTTGTACTTGGTCTTACCTATCTACATGGGTCGCGCCTTTGTCCTCCCAGATCTACTCAGGCCCTCGTCTCTAGCCGCACACCTGTTCCCTGACTGTCGGCGCTCACCGTGGCCCTGCACGGCCATCGTTCAGATACTGAGGCCCCAACCCCTACATGTACCCCTTGGCTGGTTCCTCAGATCACGTCCCTACACTTCGGCCACGTCCCGGGTCCCCAGGCTCTAAGACTCAGATGTTTCCCGCTTTCCGGTCAGTCTCTCAGGCCACATTGCTAAGGAGCACGGTGCCCAATAACCTATTGAACAAGCCCTGCAAGGAATCAAGCTTCTCTCCTCGCCCTCCAACCGCGCTCCGAAGGCGTAGGCCCCGCCCCACTCTGGTTCCGACCCCGACTGTCAACCAATCGGGCCTCATCCTCAGCCCTCCCACTCCCGTCTGGACCTGCCTCTGCCCAGCAAATTCCAGGTGTTTTGGTCACGCTAATCCCTCGGTCCTCACCTCCGACCCTCTGATCGCCCAGTCTTTCTGATCATTTGGGTCCCGCTCTCTCCCAGGCACAGTGCCAAATCCTTAGGCTTCACTCTCCATGCACAGGCTCCACCCCTTTGCCCAATTTCTGCCCTGGCTGCTTCTCCGCCCAGAAGACCCCACTCACCGACTCCTCCAGCTGACCAAAGTTCAGACCGCGGCCCCCCTGGGCCCAGGGCAGGGCGGGGAACGGTCGCAGCAGAAAATAACCGAAAAGAACGGGGGTGCGGGTGGAGGCAAGTGGGCGAGACAGAGAGGATGGACCCCGAGATCTAGGCCCCGCCCCTGAGCTCGAGACTCCGCCCTCCTGGGAGCCAGTTTGAGCCCGTCCCTTTACGAACCTGGATCTTCCTTTGAAATACTGTACTCCGAGGTCTTCTTCCCCGCCCCCACCCTATTTAGTCCTAAGCCCCACCCCTTTAGGACGTTCTCCTCAGCTCCTCCCCTTTATAAACCCCCGCCTCCCT